CAAGTAGTGGAAAGTGGTCGCATTGTCGCACCACCCTCGTCGGCTTCGCGCATGTACGTCCGCGTGTTGGAACTCGCGAGGGGAAAGAGAGGGACCGCAATGACACATATGTGGAAAACCGCATATCCTTCCTGTCAACCGTCGGCCATCTGCTTTACATACCGACTTCCGGCGCCGGCGGAAACTTTCAAACGCACCCAACCCTCCGGCTTCTCTGGGTCGCCAAGGTCCATTCGACTCTCATAATTTTCTCTCTCATCATTCCGCACTTATCGTCTGCATCTCTTTCTCTCTTCTTTTCATCTTCGTCTCTCTCTCTCTGCGAATCCTTTGACGCTATGCAAACGGAGACACTCTCGGCATGCTGGAACGCATGACGGTATCGCATGTTGGAAATTGCGACGTTCGTCCTGTCTTGTTCAACTCGCGACATTGCAAATACATTTATGGAGCGTTCTCTGAACACGATAAAGAGACGGTACACAAAAAATCGCCATCGACAACGACGATTAAAGCAAATTAAGCACAGCAGTTTAACAAATTGAAACAGTCAAGTAAGAGATCATATTCGATATCTGGATATTAAATATCTCTTCGATATTCTATAATTGTGCAACGTTCGTCGTGTAATTCTAACTGATTTAATTTGAGACGCTCCTGCCGTCTCTTCTGCCGGCGGCGATAAAGGATCGTTTACATTTGGATGGCAGAGTAAAAACACGATTTTGTTTCTTTCTTATTTCTATTTACCGACCTCTCGATGGCGCTCGCCGTCGCTCTCTCTCTCTCTCTCTCTCTCTCTCTCTCTCTCTCTCTCTCTCTCTCTCTCTCTCTCTCTCTCTCTCTCTCTGCGAGGAAACGGAAACTCAATACCGTCCTTTTGAAAGGTCATAATTTCCTCTCCTTTACCACCCAGCGAAAAGTAACTTTAAAAACACCAATGTACATCTCGGTGTGAGAAGAGCGTGTAAATTTTTCAAAGGACCTAATGGACACCACTCTAAGAAAACCGTCGCGGTAACGCGAGCCAGTTAATTCAGAAAGCATTTTTTTCCCTTGTTCTGCTTCCGATTTCGCGGTCGCTCGCGAGCGCCATTAAGTCACAGAGATTGACAGAAAGCTGACAGACGATACGGAGATGAGACCACTATGATTTGAAAAACGCTTCCCAACGGGGAATAACGGAAAGAAAAGCGAAGTGCGCAAAGAAAGCGAATCCGCGGGTGAAACGAGGAGGATTCTCAAATGGACGTGACGAGTTTCCCGGTTGCTTTTTGCAGCACTTTTACTCGTACCTTTTCCCTCCCTTCTACGTTCGCCCGGGTCTCACGAAAAGCAGCAATTTTTCCAATCCCCCTTAGATAAGGCGCTTTAAAAGAGGGAGCGCCGTAACAAGTCGCTATTTTCCTCGTTGGTGACGAGGAAAATAAACTGGAGAACGTCAGCGGTAACAGGTGCATACGCAAAGGGTTAACAGACAGCAGAGGGAAAGACGAAGTACTCGGGCGCGCTCGGAAACGTAAGACGTGTTACTGCCGCCGTAAGACGTGTTACTACCCCGACGAAGGAGATATAATAAATATTCCCTGGTAAATGTGCGCAGGCCGTCCCGCCGCGTTCCCGAGGACGGCGATATTTCACGCACCGCGAGATGAGCGCGGGGCACGCATGCGGATTTATGCGGCAAATTGTTTTTCACTCTTCTTCTTTGCCAACATTCAGCAGCCCCCCCGCGAGCGAGTACGTGTAAGGAGGAGCATGCGAGAAATCCACGCCGCGATAGGAAGGAAGATGAATACGGTAAAAACTTAATTGCCCCGAGGATAGATAGGTCTATCCTTGGTTCTCCTTCGGTGCGAGAATTACAACCCTCCACGGAAAGAGAGTTTCCGTGGGAAAAAATCGTGGAAAAAATTTACACCGTTGAAATATTTCTGTCGAATATAACACACTTCACGTTCCCATTTCAAATTTTTATATTCGTTTAATATCCTATTTGGAAAAAAAAAAGAAAAACAAAAAAAAAACAACAAAAACGATGACGATAAAGAGAACATGCGGTATTTGTAAATAAACTGTGGACGTATAATTGACACTTACGATATGTTAAATTGAAACGTATTTTTCATTCATTCATCTTAGAATTTACATTTTAAAACATATTTTTACGTTACTTATTCATTTATTCGTAAACTGAGTCATTTTGAAACTAGGAAACGTTGAATATCGATTTAACACAAGATCTTTAAATGATACAATCGCATTATGTTAAAATAATACTCGAGTATGTTAAAAGATTCAACACAAATGTTGTTAACAAGAACATAAACGGATCGTTTGCGACACAAGTGCGCAATTTTTATCGCGCAGATCTAGATACAGATCTGAAAATAAATTTGTTAGACCATCGAAATGATTATGCAGGACACTCGAGAACTGATTGCTCGAAAGTCAACATTTTTTTTCTAGCATTGTTCGTTATATTTAAATGTTGTACGAAATAATTTTGATAGTCCAACGGAGTTACTTTTAAATTTACATGTGGCTAAATTTTATTTACTTCGGCAAATTCTTTCCGCGTACGATATATTAATGAGAAGGAAATTGGAAATTTCCGATATCCCGGCTGAAATATTACGTATAACGATTCGATCGGTTCGCAATCTGTCCACTTTTCCGCGCCCATTTTTCTCGCGATGCATAATTGCGATGCAATCGAGCTGACTTACATGGAGCAGATTGCGAACGAAATTGCAGTCAAGTTGCGAGAACCGTGTTTGCGGAACGTCGGCGAGCGCGACGATGCAACGGAAAACAGCACGATCCACAAATGGGTGCCTGTGTGTTGCACTGTTGCCCCGAGGTAACGTTGGAACGAAACCCGGAAATACACAGTCGTTCCCGTTGTACGGAATCTCTATTTCGCAATACTATTCTCGGGTATGTGAATAGAACTCCGAGAGGGACTGTCATTTAGCGCTACGTCTTCCAATGCCAAATGACCACCTCCGTCGAGAGAAGGGAGACAGGTCGCAAATCGATCGAGAAAACTCCTGGCCAATGGAAAAAAGAACGCAACAATCGATATCCTAGGCTGCGTTTCATTTAACGCTTCCTGCACCATTAGATATTAAAGGAGCAATGGTAACCCCATCCCTCGAGTTATAAGTGACATTTTGTGATTTTTAACTTCCACATTGGAAAAAATACGCTAAATTTTAATAAATCATTTGTTCGAATAGTGCCAAGTATATATAGTACTAGATATAAAGATACATTTATTTGGCACAAGAACCATTAATTTGATTTAATGATCATTTTTTTAATTAAATATATATTTATTTACTGTAAGTAG